CTATCCTTCGGCGCTTCCGAGGTAACTCTCTTTTCTCTGCTTTACTTTCTGCAATGTAGAATACAAAACTGTCGTAGCTGGTTGTACTCTTTAATTGCTTTAGCTCAGATACCCTGTATACTGTAGTTGATTGTAAACATTCGTACAACTGATACCTGCTTGAGACTGACACATGCACACACACTGCACTAGCCCTGAATCACCCAAACACACGGCGCACACTGTATTTCACTGCATACACACTGGTACCCAATATTTGCTTGAGTCTGAAAATATGCACACATGCTATACTGTATTGAACCACCCGAACATACTGACGCATCACACGTTGTAGTTCACTGTAAGCACACCGGCATTCGGTATTTTGTTCAAATCTGTCAAACTTGCACCCATGCTACATCTGCTCTGAACCACCCAAACACGCTGACGCATCACACGCTATAGTTCACTGTAAGCACACCGGTACCCGGTATTTGTTTAAATCTGTCAAACTTGCACACATGCTACATCTGTTCTGAACCACCCGAACACGCTGACACATCACACGTTGTAGTTCACTGTAAGCTTCTTAAAACTGCATTTTGAATATTGCCTTGCAATTGTTGCTTTTGATTACAGGGGGATTCCCATATCATCCGCGGGTATGGGAACACCGGTGCCCGGGACTGGTATGCCGAGCTTCCCGATGCGGTCCGTTGCATAGTGGACCAGGCGGGCTTCGGCGCATTCTGCAGAGGACTCTCCAGGCTCACTACATGCAGACCTCTCCTCGCCGCTCTGGTGGAGAGGTGGTGGGACACCACCGATTCATTCCATTTCTCCGCGGCAGGGGACATGACGATGACCCCTTATGATAAAGTGTCCTTCGTATGTGTGTCGATGGATTTACATAACTTCATATGCTGGAACAATCAATGTGACACGATTACACACAATCTCCTAGACAATGACGAGTGCATTGCGTTGCAAATGCCCGACCACCCCGAATACACCTAGGTTGGCGATATCATGGAGCCAGGGGACTCAGATCCCCATATGGAAACTGTAAGAGTGAATATTACATACGCACTGTGACAGCAAGTGCACGTTTAATGCCGATGCATTTGTTGCTGTGGCGGGTGTTATATTCGTTGTATGTTATGTAACACTGATGTATGTTGTTGAAAGTGATTGTATTATTATATCGTTAATTACAAGGAAATAATTTTTTGTACAAAATTTGTCACGCCCCAAATTTTAATTACTCGGAAACATTACCAAAGCCTTTAAATTAGGTCCATTTTGTTTATATATACAAACATCCATTACCCTTGAGTAATAGAAATATAATGACACATGTTCTCTCTGTCTCTCTCAATGAATATTACAATGATAACAATACATGCCAATCTCCTACTGTGCTACAAATAAATAAATACAAATACAAAATCAATTTCCTTTACATCTACTATAAAGTTATACAAAGGGACTCAAGAACTCCATAAATCTTCAATCAAATAATCCAAACGTTCTTCCTGTAAAAAGATAAAACAACCACGGGGTGAGCACTAATGCCCAGTAGGAATCTCATAGTTCTAAATCACTAGCCAACACACAGATAGAAATGATCATGCATGCAAGGTGATACCATATAGTAGGGTGACATTTTATAATTTCAAAATACCATACATAGAGTGTCTTTTTCTCAAAATTTATTTGAACATTTAAGGAAAACCTTCAACCATCAAAACTATTCCTTTTCATTAGAAAACAATAAGTCCTTTTTAAAACATTTATGTTTAAGGAATCACATCATTTTATGTTTATAAACTCTTTCCAAAATATTTCTCATTTGATTTCCCATATTCAATACTCCTCTTTTTCTTTTATTCTTCTTTCCTTCTCAGTATATTTAATTAGAACTCCATTACTTCAAGTTCAAGTTCTCTTTTTAATTCACTAACGATTCTCCTATACTCAATTCATACTGTTAATTACACTCTAAGATTTCATTTTAAGATAACACAAGTTAATAAACCCCTTTTAATTCAATCTTTTGTTTACTTACAGAACAACACTCATAATTTACCCTTTATTGTCATAACTAATTCGATATATTCACCATCACCAATCCACAATCTATTCTTTACAGATAATGTCTAAACACATTTACTCTTTAAACCAAGTTACACATCAATATGCAATTTCACAAATTCATCACAAGTCACGAATAACATCATCTACTCAACACAATTCTCAACACATATCTCAACACAATCCACCTTTTGCCGATTTACTACGGTGGGATAGTGGGCACCCAATTCATAACACTTTCCATCTTTCGCCGGCTACTATACGGCGGGAAGTGAACTCCCAAAAACCATTTTCTCAAAAGTCATTTTCTTCCAAAAACCATATTTTTCCAAAAACCATATTTTTACAAAAACCCTTTTTCAACTTTTTAAAATCATTCCCCACATTTGCTAGCTACTATACGGCGGGATGTGGGCACCCCAAATATTTTCGAAAACCATCATTTTTTTCACTTTTGTCGGCTACAATACGGCAGGACTGTGTGGAAACCCAAAAATCATTTTTCCACTTTCGCCTGCTACTATATGGCGGGACTGTGTAGACACCCAAAAACATTTTTCCACATTCGTCCAGCAATAAGCCTAGACATGGCAATTGGGCACCTTTAATTCAAACCACCCCCACATTTGTCGGCTACTATACGGCGGGGCGTGGGCCCCCAAAAACCTTTTTCTTCAATTTTTAAAACCATCCCCCACATTTACTGGCTATTATACGGACGGTTGTGGGCACCGAAAAAAACATTTTTCAACTCCCCGTGCGGGTACCAACACAACACCACCCAACACAACTCAACCCAAACTCAACACACCCAACACAACTCCACTCAAACTCAACATGACCCAACACAACCCAATTCAAACTCAACACACCCAACACAACTCAACACAAGTCAACATGATTCAAACACAATTCATCCTAGTCCAACACAATTCGATTCAACATCATTCAACACAACTCAACATCATCAACACAATTCAACATAATTCAAGGTGAGCTCTTAAACCTTTATTTCATCATTTCACCCCAAGGCCCAAGTCATCCATATCATTAATAAATCATTTTCTCAATTTTCCTTTCACATTATAGCATGATTTACAATGCCCATAACAAGGTTCATTTGCTAATTTTTAACATAATTTCCAAACATTTCCAAAATTTAATTAAACTTGTGTGTATATATATATATTTCAATACCTCAATTTTATGATTCTAGTTTCAATTGGGAAAAATCATTAATTATCATCATGAATCACCCTAGGGTTTTCAAGAAAAAAATCAAGAATTTCAAAAAAAATTCAAACTTCTTAAACCATTACTTTTTATTCCAATTTTCTCATTGATTATATACCTAAGGTTCATAATCGATAATCTAAACCCAACAATAGAACCCCAACTCTTCAAACCCTAAATCCCCAATTTCCATGATACAACACTATATGCTCAAAAATGTAAATTTTGCATTTATATAATCAAAATACCACAAATCTATCTATTAATGCAAGCATTGAAGAAGAATTAGGACCCCTACCTCAAGATTGGAAGCTAAGGGTGAAGACCCATCCTCAAACTTCAATGAAATCGCAAAATAATCGATCAAAATCTTGATCCTTGCTTGTTCTTCAACCTTAATGCAAGATCCATGGTGGATTTGTTGGTAAAAATGGATGGAATCAAAGTTTTGGGGGCTAGGTTTTTGGACATGGAGGAGGGCAGAGGAAGAGAGGATGAAAAAGTGAAGTTTTTGAGCCAAAATGACACTTTATAATGCCTGTTAGCGACCTGGTCGCCTGAGAGATGGAAGCTTGGCTCGAGCATGGAAAAGAAGCTCTCAGATTTTCTGAAAAACGCACTCTTTGCTTGAGCAAAGAAAGTCTCGCTCAAGCAAGCATGCTTCCAACATAGAAACTTAAAATTCGAACAGGTGTAACTTTCTCGTTCAGACTCCGTTTTAGGTTGTTCTTGTGTCCAAATTGAAGCTCCGGAAACAAGATTTCCAATGGTTTTAGCCTCATATTCAAATTCAAAGTATGGAAGGAGAAAAGGGCAAAAGAGTGAAGGTTGGTCAAAAACTCAAACTCAAACTTGGGGCTTTTTATCTAATTTTACCTAAATACCTTGTTAAGGCTTCAATCAAGGTTCCAAACATCACCCAAGGGTACTCAATTATAATATTTAAAGTTCATTGCCAACCCATCAATATCAAGAGTCCGACAACCATACAAGTTTTAAGGTGACGGGCACTACTTTACATCAATCCAATGTGAATTAAAATCCCAGTCATTACAAAATTCGCAACAACTAAATTATTTTTTACAATAATCAACAACATTCAATTTCGTACACTTGTTACATTTCTTACATAATCAAAATAATTACAAAAAATAATAAATTGTAATTGTATTTTTAAATTTCTTACATAATCAAAATAATTAGAAAGAAAAAAATAAAAAATAGAAAATTTGCACAGGAAGGTAAAAAGAAAAAGTAAAAGCCAAATTTGTAGCCACAAATTGAAGTGAACAAGTACAAACTGAACTTCACGTGTGAACAGGAAACATGTAAAAGAAAATATATATATATATATATATCTTATGAAGTATCCTTGTCCACCACACAATGAAAAAGCAATCCGTACTAGCTTTCATGTTCATCTTTGTCAGTACGCATAGGGGGCATATGAGTAATACGGTAATTTTGGTATTTGTTACAATATTATAATGCACATTATTTTGTAAAAAATCAAAAAGTTATCCCAAGCAATCATTTTTTTTTTCTATTTTTTTGGCCAAAAATTTAAAAAGTGCACTTATATAGATCATTCCAAACAATCCCTAAACACCCAAAACTCGTTATCAAATTCTGCTATAAACTAAACTGAACAACAATCAGTGTCACGCCCCAAAATTTTGAGACCGCAAGAGAAATATATAAAGTACAACTCAAACAAAAGAGATAACCACAATATGTTAATATACACATACAAGCAGAGTTATAACATAGATAACTGATTTGAGTTCCACTAGAGGTTTACAAACATTGTCAAACCGAAAGGTAAAAGAAGAGAGAACACAAAAACAAACTACTAGTCCAAGTTTTCAAGTGAACCACGGCTCTAAAACTTCATCTTGATTGTCTTCGGGATCACCTTCCCCGTCGTAAGCTGCTTCTTCACCTGGCATGACACGCCATGAGCTTGGAATGCCCAGTAAAAACACACACACCCCCATATCTTCTATCAATCAATCATACACAAAACAAATCAGATAACACAACATACTTCCATTAAGGTTTTATAAATTAGTAGTTAGACTAGGCATATAGAATCCCCCCCAAAGAGATCCTTCTACCCAACCACAAGATTAAACACCGGACTACTCAGAACTCCCCCTTTTGCTGCTTTGCAGACCTTACCACCCATGCCCACCTCCCGGTTATTTACCTGTCAATGGCATTGATGGACCTCAAAAGGGACGGCCAACAAGTGGGCTTGCTTACACCCAAATTGTGCCTCGGGCTCGCTTACACCCTGCACATACCATACCAATTCGTGCTTAGGGCTCGCATACACCCTGAAACCATCGCATAGAGTCTGAATACATCCGGGTCAACCTAGGGGCTCGCCTAAACTGCTTACACAAGACTTAACTCATTTGGTATTAATCCCATCCTAATTCATGTCATGCATATGTATAAAATTGTTCTAAAACACTAAGATAAACGTCACCCATTGCAAACCCCTTATCATTTCCCGTTTATTAGATTTTTTGCTAGGTAAGTTAGTCACATTCGGTAATTCGGTCATTTAAACGAGTATGGGAAAAAGGAAATATAGTCCATGGTCATCATGCATAAGTATAGTAAGGCAAGAAAATAACATTAAAAAGGCTTTGACACATTTAGAGACAAATAACAAAATATAACACAATTTCCAGCACTGTTCGGTTCTGCAGGGCTAACAAGAACGCTTTGGTAAAAATACTTCTAGGCCAAATTAGGGGCTGAAATTGTACAGAAACAATATTCAATCTGTCTAGTTTCAGTTCCAATTTTCAGAAGTTGCACAGCCCCTCCACAAATTCATTTACAAACTATATTTGAAAATCTGTCCAGATTTGTCACCCTTTGGGGAAACTAACGTTTCTCTCAATCTACCCGATGGTTTTCACTCAAATAAATTATGTTGGAAAGAGGACTCAGAGTTCTAAATTTTGACAGAAGAACCAACATGAGTTTATTTTTCTAGAATTTTATAAAATTGCTAAAAGTGGACTGTTTTTTAGAGATTCAGGACCAGATTTTTCAACAAATTATCCAAGCCCTAAAAACACACAATTAGGAGCTAATAAAATTTTCACAAGCTCTAAACACATAAAAAATCCTACAATAAATTCAGATTTGAGAATTAGATAGATTTGATATTTCTTTTAAATTAGAGAAGTTGCAGCAGTGCCTAATTTCACAAGTTTGCAAGACAATGATACTATTTCATACCTACACCTTCACACACACCAAAAACACCCTATTTACCATCAATTTGTAACACAAGAGGCATACTAGACCATAGAATGAGATGATGAAAGGATTGGAGAAAATAAGGAAGAGGTATGTTCTTACCTTCAAGAATTCCTTCTCTTTCCCCTTTTTTTTTTCTTCTTCTTCTTATTTCTCTACCTCCCTTCCCTTGAGCCAACTCTCTCTCTCTCACCCTCTCCTTGGGCTTTAGAAAAACGTGGGAGTGGATTTGGACAAGCCCTCAATTTATATAATATAAGGTAGCTTAACTCTCTCTCTCTCTCTCACCCGCTCCTTGGGCTTTAGAAAAACATGGGAGTGGATTTGGATAAGCCCTCAATTTATATAATATAAGGTAGCTTAATGGCTAAGAGAACTAAATATCTAGATAGTTATATTTTATTTTATTTTTATTTGTTGTTATCCAATCACTTTTCCACCAACATATTTTTTATATATATATATATGTATATATTTAAACTATGTATATATCCAAATAAACAATAGTATTCCATTTAAATAAATAATAAATGAAAGAACAACAAAAAAAAAATAGAAATAAAATAAAATGCGTGAATTAATTTAGAAATTATGAGGCAAAATAAATAAAACCAAGTTTTAGGATAGTTCCAATCATAAAGTGGCATTCTATAATTTAATTATGGTAACACACAGAGAAGTTATTATTTACTTGGGTCCTTACGCAGACTTTTACAGAACTAGGGCTAAAATGCTATTAGCCTAAGGCTCAAGGTTTCAAGTGTATTGACAAAAAAAAATTAGGATCTCTACAATCAGTCTGCTAATTTTCAAAAAATAAATACTCATAATTAAATTCTGAAATTCTTATCCAACATATTAAACTCATATGGGAATAACATATAAAATTTTTATAATTTTCTGAGATAGGGAACTATATAAAAAAAATACAAAATGAAAAATTAGACTATTTTTACACAGAATTTTATGCAAGTCAAATCCAAATATTGTTCAATTAATTTATGCACTAAATTTTTATTTTTATTTTTATTTAATTTTTTTTTAATTCTGAGTTATTACATGGCTAGCCATGTGATATTTTTAAAAACATGTGGCTTGCTATGTGGTATTTCAAAATCATGTGGTATACTTTGATACCACTGTTTGTAGGATGCTATGATAACTTCCTTTATAAAACTCTGATATCAATGTTAGTGGTATATTCTAATACCATTGTTGGTGAAAATTATAACATTTTTTTTATAAACTCTTATACCACTGTTGGTGGTACGTTCTAATACCACTAAAGGTAAGATTAGCACGTCTGTCAACGGCTTACGGGCATCAAACAGTCTACGCACTCTCTGCAACATGACCTAAACCCTACGCGACTTGGGTGACGTCCCACTAACCCTATCATTTAATTAACCTTTCAAAAGCACAAACCCAAGAATTAATCCACACATAATAATAACATAAATAAAACAAATTAGTACATATATGATCTCATATACCTTTACTGTTGGGGTGGCGGTGGCCTTCTGGCCGCGGGGTGGCGGTGGCCTTCTGGCCGCCCAAGCCACCAGCTGCTCGTTGATCAGCTCCTGGAGTTCCTGTAGATACTGTTCACAATTGGCTAGTCGTTCTGTGATGTACTGTTGAGTATAACGGTCAGGTGGAAGGCTAAGATAATACTGTTTCTGATTAAGCCAGAATTGTTGTGCTGATAAGTATAATTCTAGTAAATCAACTGAGGACATACATATTGAAACACGAATAGCAAACTTTTATTGAGGAAGTAAAATATTTTACAAAGAAGGGTTGGAGAGAGATTACAAACACAGAGGGAGGAAAGAAAAACTTGAAAATTATTGAATTCTACTATGCCTCAACAAGGGTGAGGACATCCCTTTAAATACTAAAAAGAAGATAAGGGTTCATTATTACACAAGGACAGGTGGAGATCTTCCATTGCACCGACAGATTACACCTATCTTCTTATCTTCAAAGTTGGCGGAAGTGGGGAACATCTTTATCCCTGATACGGATGGAGCATCTTCTTTCTAAAAAGTTGAATTGTCCTGTTGTGCCGACGCGTTAAAGCTCGGGACCCTTTCCTTTATTACTTTTGTCTTGGGTCATTTTTTCAGCAAGTGCAGCTGTAAAGGAATCCCAAAAGTCACCAAGGGTGGGTTCCATCTCATCTTCGGATTGAGACTCTCCTGCTAACACGTGGTCGGTTGGATCGGCCTCTGATTCGGATTGCGTATGACTGGTACCTGACCTCATAGAGGCGTAAAAGTTGAATTGTCCTGTTGTGCCGACGCGTTAAAGCTCGGGACCCTTTCCTTTATTACTTTTGTCTTGGGTCATTTTTTCAGTAAGTGCAGCTGTAAAGGAATCCCAAAAGTCACCAAGGGTGGGTTCCATCTCATCTTCGGATTGAGACTCTCCTGGTAACACGTGGTCGGTTGGATCGGCCTCTGATTCGGATTGCGTATGACTGGTACCTGACCTCATAGAGGCGTCATCTTCTGGATTAACGGATTGGAGGAATTGCTCTTTCAGATAATCCATGCTTTTTAGAATTAATTCATTATCTGAAAGGTTTGGAAATTTTTTCTTTAATTCCTTCTGCATCTGGACAAAAGGATTTGTTACTGGAGAAGAGGATACTGGTAAAGCAGGTTGCTTGACAGAGTCCCAGCAAGCCTTAGTATGCTGTTGAATTTTCTAGATGAGGTCCTTGAGATCCCTCTTATCCCACCATTTCACAAAAAAGATTCTTTTGAGACGGGGGATATTTTGCTGGTAATCACATGCAAAGTCCCATTTCCATATCCAAGGAATACTAAATCGGATAGAAAAATGGACAACAGATTTGCGAATAGATAATTCTCTGTTTTTATTTAAATATGAATAAGCACGGGAATAAGCCACGTGCCAAAGATTATATTCTATTCTGATGGATTCTGGTAAGATGTCAAGACATAGACCGAACTTATCCCACCAAATGAGGAACCAATTTGGGACATCATTTTTGAGAACATCGGTCGTGATACGGATAAACCAAGAGTGATTCTTGATTGGATTCTGGTGGTATGCTCTGATATCACTGTTGGTGGTATGTTCTAATACCATTGTTGGTGAAAATTATGATAATTTTTTTTTATAAACTCTGATACCACTGTTGGTGGTACGTTCTAATACCATTGTTAGTAGCATATTCTGATACCATTGTTGGATGTAGAAGAAGGGTGTAAATGTAACGATTCGAAATTTTTCCCTCTGCGCAAGCGGGGGAGTTAACGCTCGAGCCGGCTTGAGAGGTTCTCAGTATTTTTGCTGACGGTCTGAAATTCTGAGAGTTGTGAATTCCTGCTCGAGCATAGGAGTGATCGCTCGAGCGGACAACTTTGTTGGTCCACGCGCTCAAGCGTGGAAAACGACGCTCGAGCGTGGAAAGTGAGATTGCCCTTAAAATTTTTATTAGTGTATTTGAAACCTCCTTATTTCATTTTGGGGTATTGATCGAAGTGGTAGCATGATGGTAAAGTAAGAGTGAACCAAGAACTTAATTCGAATAACTTTTCTTGCGAACAATTGTCACTCTTTTGCCCTTTTCTTTTTCCACACTTTGAACTTGGATGTGAGGCTAGAACCATTGGAAAGCTTATTTCCAGAGCTTCGATTTGGACACAAGAACGACCTAGAATGGAGTCCGGATGAGAGAGTTATGCCCATTTAAAGTTTTGAAATATGTGCTGGAAGCAGGTCTGCTCAAGCGAGAAAAGTAGCGCTCGAGCAGACTGCACGAATTCAACAGCTTAAAATGTGATTTTTTGGCTCATTCTTTGCATTTTCCTTTTCCTTCTTCATTCCTCTCACCCTAGGTCCGAAAATCCTAGGTTTTTGACCCCAAATACCTTCCATTCCTCTAAGATTTGGCCAAGATTCCTTGCCAAAAAGTGAAGAAGGCTTGAAGCTCAACATTTTCTACCGACTAGAATTTGGATTTTTGAAGGAATCTCATCAAAGCTTTGCTTTTTACTTGATTCTTGAGGTAGGGGTCCTAGTTCTTCTTCAATACTTGCATTAATAGATAGATTTGTGGTATTTTGATTATATAAATACAAAATCTCCATTTTTGAGCATATAGTGTTATATCATGGAATTTGGGGGTTTAGTGTTTGAAATGTTGGGGGTTCAATTGTTAGGTTAATATGGTGGATTATGAACCTTAGGCGTGTAATCAAGTGAAAAATTAGAATTAAAAGTAGTGGTGAGACAAGTTTTAATTTTTCTTGAAAGTCTTGATTTTTCTTGAAAACCCTAGGTTGATTTATGATGATAATTAATGATTTTTTCCAAATTGAAAGTAGAATCATGAAATTAAAAGGTTGAATTGTATATATACAAGTTTAATTGGATTTTGGATGTGTTTGAAAATTACATTAAAAATTAGCGATTGAACCTTTGTTATGGATATTGTAAATTATGCTATAATGTGAAATGAAGATTGGGGAAATGATTTATTAATGATATGGATGACATGATCCTTGGGGTGAAATGATGAAATAAAGGTTTAAGAGTTCACTTTGAATTATGTTGAATAGTGTTGATTATGTTGAATAGTGTTGATTATGTTGAGTTGTGTTGAATAATATTGAACCGAATTGTGTTGGACTATGATGAATTGTGTTTGAATCATGTTGAATTGTGTTGAGTTGAGTTGTGTTGGGTGTGTTGAGTTTGAGTTGTGTTGTGTTGGGTCATGTTGAGTTTGAGATGAGTTGTGTTGGGTGGTGTTGTGTTGGTACCCGCGAAGGGGAGTTGAAAGATGATACGAAATTTATGATAAGATGATGAAGTGAAGATTTAAGAATTTTATTGTGTAATTACAAAGTGATTTTATACCTCAAAACTAAAAGCCCAACTTTATATTTAACTCTAGTTATGAAGTTTTATTTTGGAAAATGAGGATACTTCAATCAACATTAAATCTATGAAATTAAGTCTATGTTAGGTTAAGATGAGTGTGAATAATGATAAATGGGAGATTGCGAAATATGACGATGTTATATGAAGGAGTTGTATCAAACAAAATTAAATATTAGAGATTTAATTTATAACCGTGGGTAGTAATTGATAACCAATGTGTTTTAAAAATTAAATTTGAAGACTTGATGATAATATGGAAAAGTAAAGAAATAGTTTGAACCCAAGAATTGTGAACATGAATCTTTGCCTCTATGGAGGTGTTGCTATATTTTTGTGTGACAAAACAATGAATGATTTAATGGATAATGAAGAAG